ATACCATCTAAATTATAATACATTAAATTCATAAAAAATTAATGTTGAATTATGAGTTTCTCATTCCTCACAACAGGCCCCCACCCTACAAACCTATATTTCTGTCTGAAAGACAATAATACCCTTTTTCCAGAGACCATGAAGATAGGAGGCACAGAAAATGAAAGGAAGGGGTTAACACTAAAGTGTGTTGTGTGGGTGTGTGGCATACAGAGAAACTTCTACTTTCCAGAATCTTAAAGATGATGATAAATGGAAAAATGATAACATAGAAATGCACGATAAGGTACCATTTTTTTTTTTCCGGTTTCTTTTTCTTTCTCTTTTGGATTTTGCCATTTTGGTCTCAAATTTTATCAAAGTTTTGATCTTTGTGTTTAGTATTTCTCAAGCTGTAATCTTGCTGTGTTGTCGGTTACTCTTCTAAGAAAGCTCTGTAGTGTTGACTGTGAATTTCATTTCTCTGATGATGTGAGTTATCAGTTTTTTTTTTTTTTTTACTATTTCATGCAGGATTTGAGGTGGGGTTTTTAAGAGAACGCCATTGATGCTGAAATGAAGTTCCTTTAGTGTTGTTTGGGGTGTTCCAATGCATTATCACAGATCTGCCATGAGAACCCACCATAAGAAGATTGTGTTATTGCTTGTTTTCTCTCTTGTTGCTGTGGTTTTTGGCGCCACTGACCCGGGTGACCGTGATGTTCTGCTCAAGTTCAGAGATGGGATGGAGAATCCGGAGCTCTTGAACTGGCCTAAAAATGGTGATGACCCATGTGGCCCTCCTAGCTGGGACTATGTCTACTGCTCTGGTTCAAGGGTTACTGAGATTCAGGTTAAGGAAATCGGGTTGAAGGGTACTCTGCCTCAGGACTTGAACAAGCTCTCCATGCTTCAAAACGTTGGCCTCCAAAAAAACAATCTCACAGGGCCGTTGCCGTCCTTTGGTGGGTTATCGAATTTGCAGTACATTTACTTGGATTTCAACAATTTTACTTCGATTCCAGATGATTTCTTTGATGGTCTTGTGAATTTGCTAGAATCGGCTTTGGATTACAACAATTTGAATGCCAGTACCGGGTGGTCTTTACCCAAGTCCCTGAATGATTCTGCTCAATTGATCCGGTTTTCTTGCTGCACTTGCAATTTGGTTGGTCCTTTGCCAGATAATCTTGGTTCTATGTCTTCTTTGACATACTTGTTGCTTGCTGGCAATAGATTATCTGGTGAAATTCCGAGGAGTTACAGAGGCATGGCTCTGGAGAGGCTTTGGTTAAATAATCAACTTGGTGGCGGGATGACAGGACCTATTGATGTGGTGGCAACAATGGAGTCGCTTAAACTTCTATGGCTGCACGGGAATCAGTTCACCGGGCCAATCCCGGAAAATATTGGTAACTTAACTCTCTTGAAGGAACTTAATCTTAATGGTAATCAACTTGTTGGCTTGATTCCTGATAGTTTAGCAAATATGGAGTTAGAGAAGTTAGATTTGAACAACAATCTGTTAATGGGTCCGATCCCTAAGTTTAAAACAACAAATGTGACTTTTGATTCAAATGCATTCTGTCAATCCACAGAGGGGCTTTCTTGTGCGCCTGAGGTTATGGCACTCATAGAGTTTCTTGGTGGGGTGAATTACCCTACAAGACTTGTTCATTCATGGTCCGGTAATGATCCTTGTAAAGGGTGGTTCGGAATAGGTTGCAATCCTAGCCATCAGGTTTCTGTCATAACCTTGCCTCATTACAATCTCTCTGGTACCTTGAGTCCTTCAGTTGCAAAGTTGGAGTCCCTTTCTCAAATTATGCTTCAGTTTAATGATTTAAGTGGTCAAATTCCAGAAAACTGGACCAGCTTGAAGTCTCTGAAAACTTTGAATCTTAGTGACAACAACATAACTGGTCCAGTGCCAAAATTTCCAAGCACTGTTGATCTCATCACAGTTGGGAATCCTTTGAATAATCAGCCTGAGATAAAACCCTCCCCTGGAAACAGCCCACCGTCTGAGGTTTCCAGATCTCCACCTAACAAAGACTCAGGATCGAGTAAAGGTGCTCCTCCTGTGGAACCAACCAATGGAAAAGGTTTGAAAAGAAGCAATTTAGTCATAATTGTTGCCCCTATTGCAAGTTTTGCAGTTCTTGCTGTTCTTGTCATTCCTCTCTCAATCTACTGCTATAAGAAAAGAAAGGAGAGTAGCCTGGCGCCAAGTTCCCTTGTAATTCACCCAAGAGATCCATCTGGTCCAGATAACATGGTTAAGATTGTTGTAGCCAATAACACCAATGGAAGCACTTCCACACTAACAGGGAGTGGTTCTGCAAGTAGAAACGGTAGCAGCATTGGTGGTGAATCTCATGTAATTGAATCTGGAAACCTGGTCATATCAGTTCAAGTGCTTCGGAATGTGACAAAGAATTTTGCTTTAGAGAATGAGCTTGGCCGTGGTGGCTTTGGTGTAGTCTACAAGGGAGAACTGGATGATGGAACAAAAATAGCAGTTAAAAGAATGGAGGCTGGTGTGATCAGTAGCAAAGCCTTGGATGAATTCCAGGCTGAGATTGCAGTTCTTTCAAAGGTTCGGCACCGTCATTTGGTATCTCTCTTGGGTTATTCCATTGAAGGCCATGAGAGAATTCTTGTTTATGAATATATGCCTCAGGGAGCTCTTAGTAAGCATCTTTTCCATTGGAAGAGCTTAAAATTGGAACCTCTATCATGGAAGAGGAGGCTAAATATTGCCTTGGATGTAGCTAGAGGAATGGAGTACCTTCACAACCTGGCTCACCAGAGCTTCATACATAGGGATCTTAAATCATCAAATATTTTACTTGGTGATGATTTCAGAGCTAAAGTTTCTGATTTTGGATTGGTCAAACTTGCTCCTGATGGGGAGAAATCTGTTGTGACCAGGCTTGCTGGGACATTTGGATACTTAGCCCCTGAATATGCAGGTAAGCTTTCACTTGGGGTTCTTTCCAGTGTTCTGATCTTCTTTGTTAATATATGAAATGTTAGGAGTGAGTCCCATGCCCTTGTTTTCGTTGATGTCTTCTTCGGTATACTCTGATCTTGTACTGATTCCTTTGTCATGTGCTATTGATTCAGTGACAGGAAAAATCACAACCAAAGCTGATGTTTTTAGTTTTGGGGTTGTGTTAATGGAACTTTTGACTGGATTGATGGCACTTGATGAGGACAGGCCTGAGGAAAGCCAGTACTTGGCTGCGTGGTTCTGGCATGTCAAGACAGATAAGGAGAAATTGCGGGCTGCTATCGACCCAGTTCTTGATGTGAAAGATGAAACGTTCGAGAGTATCTGCATTATGGCTGAACTAGCCGGACACTGCACTGCAAGGGAGCCAAGCCAACGACCAGATATGGGCCATGCCGTGAATGTACTGGCTCCACTAGTTGAAAAATGGAAGCCAGTGGATGATGACACTGAGGATTACTGTGGCATTGATTACAGCCTCCCACTGAACCAGATGGTGAAGGGTTGGCAGGAAGCAGAAGGGAAGGATGCAAGTTACATGGACCTGGGAGACAGCAAAAGCAGCATCCCACCTAGACCAGCTGGGTTTGCTGAGTCATTCACCTCTGCTGATGGTCGGTAAAAAGAGGTACCATTTTGTATTTCATTGATACATTGTTCATTTGATACTTGTAGATAAGATAGTATGTTGTGTTCTTTCCTGTTGAAAACACATTATAATATGTTTTGATGCCTGTGCCTTTGTGATGGATTTTCTATTGTGAGATTTCTCTTGTTAGTGGTGATGTAGATTAAGAGACAATGATGACTGATAATTGTTTGCTAGTCTTCTGTGATTCTTTTCCCATTTTACTTTTCTTGCAAGCATCGATATCTGCTCTATAAAATTGTGTCTTTTCTTGGAGGTATGGTTAAGATTCATATGTGGAGGAATTTTCCTTTTTTCTGTCACCATGGCACAACTTTTATTTTGGATTTTCACAAGCTTTTGATAAATGAGTACATGGCTCAGCATTGAAATTTGTCAAGGGAATTAGGTAAACGCTCCCTCTACCCATTTCAATGTGGCATAATAGGTCCCTGGACCATATCATTATTAATATGTATAAATGGTTGAACTGAAAGTGAGTTGAAGCTAATGCTACATTTGTGTTTAGATATATGAGGGGCAAGTCGCTCAACCAAGTTGGGTTCGATTTCATTATTGTCAGCATCTGTTACAGGCTACTACACTGATCGCTAGAATTATTGCTGCCCTTTATTTTTTCAGTAAAAAAGGAAACATTTTACATAGATTTGACGATCTTTAGTCCTGTCTGTTACTTCCCCTCTGTTTCTCACTCTGTATCAGCACCAGTCCTATCTTTTTGTTTGCCTTTTCTTGGTTTTAAAAACAGGTCAAAACTCAAAACAAAAGCTACCTTAGAAAAGCCCTAAGTTTTGTATTTAACATTCAAAATCTTAACGAAAATTCGAACTTTTGTCACATGAAGTTGAACTAAACCCCACACTCTTTTCCCTCATTGCAATAGGTTAATAGAAAGGTAAATGGCGGACAGCCTCCCTCCTTTTTCCCTTATCCCTCCCTCCTTTTTCCCTTATCCCTCCCGCCCTGTTATTTAGAAGACAGGATTTGATACCAGGTGTCCTAAATCCTTACACAACTACAAAGTGTACTGAAAATGCTATACCTTATTATGGACAAGGCATTAGAAGGTTATAATTATGGTATTTTATTATGTAATTATTTTTTTATTATTGATAT